GGAACATAGCCAACAGTTTGAGAAGGTGATAGAGAGGAGAGAGGAGATAGAGATGGCTTGGTCAAGAAAGCCCTCTGTGAGGTGGTCTCCCTGAGCAGTGGCCTGGATTAAAGTAGTTTATTTAATAATCTGTAGAAAGAGCATTCCAGGCCGGGAGAGATGTTTCTTTTTCTTTTATTGATAAATGTAATGAAGTTATTTTTTGCATGTGAGGATAGAGATTGTTGGAGGTTAGAGGAGATTTAAAAAAAAAAAAAAAAAAAGCCTTGTGTCATGGTCACCTGGCATAGTGGGAGAGTAGGTTGACTGGAGGTATGTAGCACAACTGCTAGGCAAAACAGGATGCACATTAAAAGTAGTGATTCTTAAAGGGGGGGCAGTTTTGCCCCATAGCGGGTATTTAATGTACCTGGAAATGCTAGGGTAGAAGCGTGGGGTGCTGCCAACATCTTACGGTGTGTAAAGCAGACCCCACAGAAAAGAACTGTATGGTTCAAATGTTAAAAGTTTAAGAAACCCCAATTTATAGTGAAGCTAGTCAGTGTACCAGGGAGTTTTCTTCCTTCTAATCCCCCCCCCCACAAATATTTATTAAGTTTTTAAACTGCTCGTGGAGAAAACTGACACCAGACAAATAGGGTGATTCAGTCTGTGTTCCTCTTGCTAATCCAAACTGGGGGTGTGATAGAAGATAGCGAGGCAGAGGTGCTACTGCTGTGATCAGGGTGGCTGAGGGTCCTCACTCAAGTGGCGCATCGGAGACGCACCCTGAGGGATGGAAAGAAGCCAGCGGCCGGGACATCCTTGGGACTGGCATTCCAGGCAGAGGGCGCCGCATTATAGAGCCCTTGAGCTTAAAAGAGTAAATGAAGTAATAGAATCTTGTAGGAATTTTCTAGAAAGAGAGAAGAAATAGCATATTAATTGTAGTGTATCATTGTGTTTCTGCTGGTTTCTATTTTAGTTAAGGAAATTTCAAATGTTTTGTGGGGAAATGGTCTAATGTAGTTACTAAGTGCCTTTTGTGAGCGCAGAAATACATTCCACAGACTACCGGCCAGGAAGAGGGCTTTCCTTTCCAGAAAAGTTGTCAACTTTGAGACAAACATGTAATGTAAGAGCTCATTGTCAACAAAATTCCACCAGAAATATTACTCTGCAAGTAAACTATATTTGGTTTCTGTGTATTAAATTTCTTTTTACATTACTTAGTAAATATTTCTAGTATTTAGTTTGAATTCAAGGATTGCAATAAAAAGTAATTTTGAAAGAAAATTCTTTAGCTTGTCCTCCTAAATTAAAATGGTAAGACTTGCAGTTTACTGTCCTAAATATACTTATCACTTACTTTGAAGTAGTGCCTCTGAAATAAATCAGTAGTGTTTTGGACCAAGTTGTGTATGATCTGAAAGATCTCTTATGTTTTCTTATCCTTTGTATCAGATTTATTTTTTCCTCTGAAACTTAGAAGTCTTGTTAGTCAGAAATCTTTTAGATGCAAATGACCAAAACCCAACTCATCTAAACAGGTAAAGGGGAAATGGGTTGAAAGAAAATGGGGTATCTTAAAACCAGAAGAGAATCTAGCAACTAAACTGATGGAAATGGCAGCTGGAATTTAGGGACAAATGGAATCAGAAATTAGTGACTCTAGGACACTTTCTGTGACCCTCCACTGCAACTTGGCTTCGTTCTTTTGTGACAGACTGGCTTCTTTGTGGCAGGAAGTAAGGCTGCCACACCCTCCGAAACCTCACATTCCACAGGTTCTGCTGCTGGGAATCTGGGAATTGGTCCTTTGGTCAGTCAGGCTCTGCAACAGCCAGAGAGGTAGCTGGTAGCTGCGTGTAGATTGCCAGGTACAGTACTAAAGTTAACCATTTGCGAGTTGGTGAGCCCCTCTGCAGTGGGTGTTTACTATTATGTATATTTTAAAGAAGAGAAAACTGCGGCATGGAGGTCAGGCATCTGGACTAAAGTCTCAAGCTGAGAGTGGCGTAGTTGGGGTTTGAACCCTAGGCATTCTGGTACCTACTGAAACTTGACAGTGAGCTACTGTAGTGGATTCATTGAAATCAACCACACTGTGGGGATGGAAGGCTTTGTATTGTTTTTGGCTGAAGAGTTAAACAATGCAAGACAGAGATACGGTTTTAATTTTTTTTGTCTTTACAAGAAAAGATATGACAACTAGTAATATAATGAACTGTTTTCAGGTCTTTGAAAAATTCCATGAGCTTTTGTTGAGAGAGGCACATGATATGGGTTGCAGAGCATCTTTTCTGTGTGCTATGTGGCAGAGGAACTTTCTGCGTTGGACTGATGTTGTGCTACATCAGTGGTTCTCAGCCTGGGGTGGCATTTGGCAATATCTGGAGTCGTTTTCAGTTGTCACAGCCTGTGGGGTTAGTAGTGCTGAGGCTGAGAAACCTGTAGTAGATAAGCTGGGCTGTGTTCAAAGTAAGAATCTATGTTTGTATTGAAGGGGCTAAGAGATGCTAAATCTCTGAGCACTTGCAGAAAGCAAATAGGTCAGGACCAAGTCTGAAGCAGGGTGAGGGGTGTAGGGTCACATTAGGCTCGGACGCCTTGAAAGGAGGACTGGATAGTGAAAGACACTTGCAGGAGGGAGGGCATGTAGGAAAGAGGAGCAGACGAACTTGGCCGTTTTCAGTATTTCCCTGAGGGTCAGCCTTGCGCCTCCAAGTAAAAAGGTAAAGAAGCTAATCTCTCCCTGCCCCTCCCTCCCGTACTTGCTTGTGGTCCCCTAGGACTACTTTTAGGACAGCCTTTCAGCAGTGTTCTTGACAAAAATGAGCTAAAAATGGACTTTGTGATTTATTCTTATTCATAACATTGAAATTAATTGACAAATTGAAAACTCTGGTTTGTATTAAAAGAAATAGAGCCATTAGTGTTTTGTAAAAGTTATTTTGTGAATTTGAGTTATAATGTTAACCATAGCCAGCAGCTATTAAATGCTTTCTTTGTGTCAGTCAGTGCTTCATCTCATTGAACTCTCATAATAATCCTTTAAGATAGTTACTATGATTACGTATATTTTACTGAGGAAGAAAACAAACCCTAGAGAGGTTAACTAGCCTTCTCAAGGTCAAACAGCTAGGAAAGCTAAAGTCGGGATTCTGGTTTGATTCCAGGGACTGGACTTGACACCGCATGGTGTGCTGCCTTGTTCCCCTAAAAAGTTACAGCCTCGCTCAGGATTACTTTCCGTCTGTAGTCGGCGCCCTCATCCACGAGGTAATTCTTTACATGTTTGGTCTCAGTTCTTACTAGTGAGAAAATGGATGTGTTTGGAAACATATTTTGTCGTATTTGAAAGCTTTTAAAAATTAAAGCAGTGAAATAGTGTTTCTAAATGGTTTCTAAAGTTTATTGAATAAACTTAGTAACCAATTTGAGGTAATTATTCGGATGTGGTGATTTCAGAACAATGCTTATTCCTTACATATAAAAAGTTGGTGTTGTTAGGATCGTCCCTGTATGTCAGGGTTTCAGGTCTGACCCCCAGCCGGGCCACACACCAGAACCAACCAATGAATGCGGAACTAAGTGGAGCAACAAATCTCTCTCCACCCCAACCAATTTTTTAAAAAGTGTTGATATTCTTAAGCTTTTTATAATATATAAGACATTAAGATAACAATAGTTCCCTCTTAGTTTTTAACTCAACTTATCCATTTGTGTAAAACATTGTACAAAGTCTTTTAAGGGAAATTCTGTGTAATAGAAGTTTTGAAATAAAAAATAAGATCCTTCCTCTCTCAATAGGAGGATATTGTTTTGGAAGGGAGGGGGGCTCTTCATTATTTACAATATTTTGTGAATAAATTAAATTGTTTCTAACATTTTCCAAAAAAAAAAGAAATGTATGTGTCAGTTCAACAGATAACTGTTACACTATTATTTCCTCTTTGTGGTGTTTAAAGTTAGGGACATAGACCATCGCCCAGGGAATAGGTGGAGGAAGAGGGGACCAACACAGGTGGCCAGAAATGATAACTTTTCAGACTGCTTGCAGTGGGGATGGGTGATAAGATGTCTCCTTCTATTGTTAAAAATAATTGTTACTTTTTATGTTTTATTTCATTTATATTTGCTAGCAGTTCCATATTTGGAGACAAAGTATTGAGTTTGGGGGAGGGGAGTTTCCTGTAGCTCCTGCCACTTCCAGGTTTGGCCCTGGCTTCCTGATGTTCCTGACGCTTCCCCCCATGCCCGCCCTCACTGAGTCATGCCAAATTCTCGGCAAGATTTATTCCAATACCTTATTTTTACTGTTTTTCCTCTCCAAACCTACTGAGTTACGGTAATTGTTGGCTCCCTTTGCACTGGTTTGGTGTGCTGTCTTTTAAGTTACATACTTTGTATGGTTGTATATAGTTAATATTGTTGAATAATTGGTCTATGAGTTAAATAAAATGTTTGATCTCTGGAGTATAGAAGATATAAGAAATAATTGGTTTTTGTGTGGTAAAAATTTTTTAAATAGGTCATTAATTGATAACTCTCTTCGCCCTTTAATGGTTAATGTGGTTTGAATATTGTCTTCTTGTATTCCCAGGAGGTTTGATCTACAGAAGGAAAATATTCCTGTTATTTAAAAATATGGTCTCAGTGTTTACTTACTTGAGAAATCTTTTTTTTTATGTTAATTTGAAGAATACTTGCCTCAAGCATTTTAAAGGAGTAACAAACACTACCATAGATTAATCAAATGTAAATATTGCAAGTTATATGTAAAAATCTAATCTTTTTCCTATCTTGCTTTATGTAACTTTTTTGATATGTGGAAGAGAGGGACAAGAGCTATAAACTCAGAGCCAACTGTACTTTTGTTGTTCCAAATTTTCAATGCCAGGAGCATATAAAATTGCACCTGTTGGTAATTATGAGCAAGCCAGCCTTTGCCGAATCCCAGGCCTCTGCTTAAAATTTTTTTTACTGGAACTAAATGATGTTGCCATTTTTATTTTTAGGTTTGCTGGCATGGGTAATCTCATTAAGGTGCTAACCAGGGACATAGACCACAATGCAGCACATTTTTTCTTGGACTTTGAAAGTAAGTCTCTTTAGCCCTTCACAGCTGGTGCATAATGGTAAAGGTGAAAGATTAATTATACTCACACCGCAGTGAAGGCCAGCCAGAATATTTGTTAATAAAACATGGGGAATCAAAGTTTGCATGATTTTTTTTCTTAATCGTAGGGAAACATCACCATCATATGTATAATTCTTTAGTTTTTCATTTGCTAAAATCATGTTGAGTCTGTAGCCAGTGCTGTCCTTTCATTAGTCCATGAAGCAAGTAGCCTTATGATGAACATTCTAACAGTATGCCTTGGTGACTACGCTTGCAATGCTGTGATGACTTTATCAAAAATCAGAAGTGTGCTGCATATCCAGAATCAATGCTTAAATAACCTCCACAAATTAAGAATCCAAATTTGGTTACAAATATACGCTTTATTTCATGGCATACAGGAACTAAGTTTAATATTCTGCTATTTTAAGATGAAATGCAAAGGTGAGCTGTGGCCAAAGCTCTAGATATTTGGCTTTGAAATAAATTATTATTTCAGTGCAATTTTAAATAAGATTACATGTGAATAATTCTTGATCAGAAATTTCTTTTTCAGAATACTAGCACTATTGGAATACTTAAAGAATTTTTCATTATAAGGCCATTAATGAAACTTGTCTTGGGAGAATTTTGAGAAGAAATAGAGCAACAGTCGTGCCATTGTGTACAGGAAAAACCGCATTTCACCTCTAGGTCCTACATATCAACACGTTGAGCGCCCGGTTTGCTGTCTGCCAGAGCACAGTCTGGGTAACCTGAAGGACGAATTCATGGCCTAATGAACATTTTCCCTGTTACTATTTAAACAAAAAATAAATTTCCGATGTTCTTTTTTATAAAGGGATATTTTCTCTTTTCTTATTCTTGTCTCGACAGGTACCTTAACATGGGGAATCTTCTTAAAGTTTTGACATGCACAGACCTTGAGCAGGGGCCAAATTTTTTCCTTGATTTTGAAAGTGAGAAGATGATTTTATATCTATTTCTCTTTGCCTGCAGTAGACTGCGTTTGTCTTGCCCTAAATGAATGTTTCCACTTTGCCATCTCTTTAACTGCTTTGCATGACTGAGCTATGAATTGTTTGAATAAAATTTCTGGTGCCTTCTAGAACTGAAAATCATATTTTATAGATTAAATTGTGATAAAATGCGTTTATTTGAATTTTTATAAGAGATTATAAAAGAGATCATGTCTCTTAGTTGGATATATTACAGTTTGAGATCTCTAATGAAAACATTGGAGATTCTCTAATGAAAACATTACTATGAAAAAATTTTGATGGAAAGAACAAATGCTCCTTCACGGTTTGTTAATAGAAGCAATATTTGGGGGGAAAGTATGGCAGTTGAGAAAAATTAACTATTAACTCTATGTACCCAATGGAGTATTTTTAATACAAATCTGTTCATGAAGGCCATTCAAAGCTCAGTAATTTGGGCATACTATTAAAAGGTAAGTGTGAACCTCAATTATTTAATCTTTGCACATAATTAATTTGAAACGTTAAACTCATTATACGTATTTATTTCGGTAGTTATTTTTTTTTCTAATGCTAAATACAAAGAAAAATAATGGGTTCACAGACCTTTAAGTAATTTGCCTTCTGTTTGTTTTATGTTGCATGACCTACTGTAATATGGTCTAAGGGTGGCAGGTAAGTGTCATTGACCCCATGCATGCTGTAAAGCTTTTGCTTTTTGGCTGTCAGTATCGCTTCAGCTTGTCTGGTTGTCAGATCAAGAACAATGATGTTAAATCGGTGTTTCAGTGTGAATGTTGTCACTTTAACTGGTCATTAGAAAATTGTTAGGAAAGGGTGAAGAGCTGGCCTTTAGACTGTAAATCGTGTCGTCCCTTTTATCGCCTAAGGTTAAAACATTTGAGCAGATTTTTAAATACTTAAAATTTAAGACCTTTTCTGATTTTAAAAACAAAGTAAACAAATCCCTGAAAACAAATCCTCAGAAAGTCTTTGCCTTTTTCATCAACGTCAATTTGGTTTATGTGATACTGTGCAATTAATTCTACTTCATGACTAATTTATATATTTTTTTCTTCAAACCAGGACAGTTCTTATGAACACATTAATTTATAGCTTTTCTGCATTTTATGGAATAACTTGTGGTCTCTGATATTTTTCTACTTTTATTACACTCCTGTCAATGTTCTATAAATAGTTTGGGTGCTGTGTGCAGGCTAGCAAAGAATAGTAACATCAATATCAGGACCGTAATAAATTGTTGGGGTTTTAGGGGAACATGTAGTTAAACACATACTGGTTTTCTTGACCCTTCTCAACAATTTAACAAGGCCATTTTAAGTGCATGTTTAGCATGAATTTTAATCAGCTTCGGGATGTTGAGCAGATTGCTGACTTGAAGGTTATTCTTCAGATGAGGCAACTTACATTAAAGCTGTATTTTAGTTTATTTGCATCTGTTTCAAACTTGGTCTTGTATATTTTTCTGCTATTCTGTCTCCTTTTTACTCTGTCTCAAATTCCTTACATTTGCAGAATCTTGGCTCTGACACAGTCAAGATCTTGTTCAAGACTTGGCACTTGATCTTTTTATAAATGCAGTGTTATGTTGTGGTCAAGTGAGAAGCATGAATTTACTGTAGTGTTTAAAATATTATTTGGTCTTGGCTTTCTAATATGGGGTAGGTTTGGATCTTTATCCTTAAAATTTAAAAAGCTAATTTAGTGTCAGAAAAAGGTTAGAATTGTTAGTAAGAACAATTACCAATAATGAAGAACTGCATATGAAGTGTTAACTTTTTAAAGGCAGATATAAATTAAAGAATGGAGTTTGTTGCCTATATCAGCCAATGTAGAACTTTTGGTTTGGCACTTACTGTTATACTATAAATGAAATTTAGTGAAAACACACTGTATACTAGGCCAGAGATTTTGCCTGTTATTTTTTTTTTTTAATACCCACACAAGGATTGATTTGAGAGGGAGAGGAGGGGAGAGAGAGAAATATCGATGTGAAAGATAACATTGAGTGGTTGGCTCTTGTGCGTGCCCTGATTGGAGATCAAACCTGCCAACCTTGGTATGTGCCCTGACTAGGAATTGAACCTGCAACCCTCTGATGCACAGGTTGATGCTCCAACCAGCTGAGCCACCTGGCTAGGGCCTGTTGCTATTTCTTATTTAGATGTTTGAATATGTTTTCTTTTGATTCTGACTTTAGAGTTCTCTTAATTTTCTCTCATTCATCATCTTTTTGGAAATTTGCATTCATAAAAGTTTACCTTATGACTTGGCTACTAGAATGACCTTAGCCCATCAGATGGGCTCTCTTTTAAACTGTTTTATATCAGACTCAAAATGGTCAACATAGTTGATTTGCCAGTTCCTTATGATTACAGAGAATAAAGCCACATTCTTTTATTAAATAAACTATTTTAGTACTACGTTGTTTATTTCTAGACGAACGGTAATATTCAGGCTATCAGAGTAATTTAGGTTTACTATTTCCATCATTCTGATTGATTAAATCTACCTCAGTGTCTCTTCATGATTGGACAACAAATAGAAATAATTCCATACAGATAGACATACTGGCATTTTGAGTGATGCTGCGTACAACTGAACTATTCTAGTACATTTTAGACATGATTCAGTGGAGTCCTGTAGTTTACAAAATACTCTGTCTTTATTGTAAATCAGTACTCCCTTAATTTTTTGTGTGCACACACGTGCCGTTTTTCACTTGAGTTCAATATATGTTTATAGTTCCCCCCTGTATGCCGACAGGTAGGTGCCGGCGATGCAAAGATAACTAAGATACAACCCCTGCCTTTCAGGGGTTCTCAGTCTCATAAAATAGATATAAATGCAAATTCATAATGCCCTCTACATAATTTACACTCCAGATGAGGAAGGGATTAACTTTTCCTAGCAGTAAGTGGCTTGGGCATCATGGTAGACGTGCTGATGGCGATATCTGAGTTGCGTTGTGCAGGGTGAGATAGAATGTTTCAGGCACACTGAGTGAAGGACTTTGTAGAAGGAACATGTACAAAGGCATGAAGTGACGCACTCTGTTCATTGAAACATACTGTTATCTGTTCTTGAGGTACTAGAAAGAAGGTCTGTCTTTTTTTTAGAACAAGTTATACCTATATGAGAAGATTTTATTTTAAAAAATGGTTCCATTAGCATACAAGCTCAGCTTTGCCCCATAATATTTGGCAGCACTTCTGTTAATGACAGCATATATAAAAAAGCACTGAATTGGGGCATCTATAGCTTTTTCTAGTTCTTGGAATTTCTTATTTTATAATGACACTTAAGTTAGTCCTTGTTCTCATGACAAGTCATCAGCCTGAGCAAGTAACATACAGGAGCGGGCAAAGTAGGTTTACAGTGGTGAGTATGCAAAACACAGAGTTTATTCTTGGGTTATTATTTATTAATTATTGTATTATTTATTTCTATTACAACCGTAACCCTACTTTTCCTCACCCCCGTACATATTAGTTCACTAAATTGTAGTTCTTAGGAGGAGAGAGACTTTTATTTATTTATTTTGTCTCTTCCCAACCTTAGAACAGTGCTCTATAAAAGATAGAAGTTCAGCGTGTCTTAGTTAATCTTGATTTACTTATCATCAGATAGACCAAAGTAGGCAAGTAGATATAGGTGGGTATTTGTAAATGAGAAATAGAATCTTACTTTCTCTGGTTGTTTCAGTGCCTTGCCATTTAGTCATACATTCTTGTGTCTTTTGTGTTACCTGTTTGTCCATCTTTTAAAAATATTGATACCTACTTTTTTGAGTCTAACTTTATTTCCCATTTTACCTCTTGTATATTTTCTGTTGCTTTAGCCCTTCACTTTTAAATATTTTTATTCTGCTGGCATTTTCCTATAGATTTTTTTCCAAAATGATGTAGGATTTTATTTGTTTAAAGATAAAAGTGCATAATGATGTCCTTTAACACATGCTGGAGCCATATTTATATCTAGCATCTCGGTACCTTTCACTCACTCAACAAATATTTATTATAGAAAATCAAGGTACTGAGTTTACACATAACATACTGTGGTATGAACACTGAGGCCCCTGCCTTGATGAAATTTATGGAGGTAGAGTGTAAATATTTATTGAATGAGTGAATGCAAGCTTAATGCAGGTAGACCCCTTATAACAATTTTAATTTTTATGATTTGCTTTTTACTTTTTTCTTTTGTAGCTGATCATTTCCTTCTTTTGTACCATAACAACTTCAATTTTAGCAATTATTTTCAGTGACTCCTTTATAGGAAAGTGATGTGAAATTATTTAAATATTTAAATTTATCTTCAAACAGCAAGCAACTGAAACATGCTGTAATTTCCCTGGAGTTGCTTTTCAGTAAACTTGATGAGTAATCACTGTGCCTACTCTCAGGAGTAGATACATTCTTTTGCAATCAAATGTCCTCTTCGATAGCTGGCTAAGTGGTAGGTTTTTTTCCAACTACTAAAATTTTTCATTATTTGCTATGAAAAATCAAAGTGACAAGTCTTGGGTGCATTATATGATACCATTTTTTGAACAAATGCTTTCTTTTATATAGTCTTTTCCTCTCCTTAGTATTTCACCCTTTTGCATGACTTGCTCTCAGTAAAGTAGTGCTTACCTGTCTGCTATTTTCTGTTTGTCTTCATTTCTACAGCAGTCTTCAGCAGCTTTCAAAATTATAAATGTGACTTTCCTGTGACAGTCTAAAAAATGTTTAATCAGTGTGGTGCTGGATAATTTGTCCACCCTTGCTGGGAACTGAAATCTTCTTTAAGTTTCTTGTTATTTATTAAATATTTAATAATTATTAATCACTTTCAAGGTCTATTTAAATCTATCTCCTTGATAATGTTTCTTTGTATGTAAATCTCAGTGTCACGTTTTTCTTTTAACAACTAGTCACTATACCAAAAATACATAGTTTAGTATCTGCAAACTTTATAAATACCTTTTGATATATGAAAGTCAAAATATTGTCCTTTGTCATGAATTCCCTCTTCATGAATTTAAACTGATATGTGTCTACTATTGATGTATATGTCTGTAGTTTCACAATCCATATGAAAATGTATAAAACTGCTGTTTTTGCATGTAAAAAGTATTTTTCTCTGCTGCATCTGGTGTAAGTATAAAAGTCATGAGGTGTACTTTTTAAAAGTGTGTGTCTAACTATTACTTTGGAGAATATGGTCTGGCTAAATATGAAAGGATATTACTGCTAAATGAAAAATTCTGATTTTTAAAATATCATTTAGCTATAATATCAGTATTTGCTCTTAGTAATACCTCTGAAGCTTTGGTCACAACCTTTTTAATTGGCTACTCTTGCGTAATTATTTTGTAATAGTATTTTTCTTCAGAAAGTACATGATTTATGAAAAGATTTGAAAAATAGGGGAACAGATATGTGAACACAAGTTCTTAAGTTGGCTTTGCATGTAACTGTTACTTTATTATTCCTGTGGTACTCTGTTAAGTATGTTGAAATTAAAATTTGGTACTGTAATTGTTGATTTAAAAAATGTGGTATGTTTTTGAGTAGTTGGCAGGTTTAATAAGTGGAATTGAATTATGACTTGCCCCAAGTGCAAAATAAAGTTACACTTTGTAGGCATCTGGAGTCCTAGTTTCATGTGTGAACTAAGTTTCCTTAAATTTTCTAAGGAAAGGACTAAATAGATCATTGTGTGTTTGTGGGGAGGTGGCATGGGTCAGAAAACGCTAGGTACTAGTTTTATATGATCGCTAAACAGAGATCTATCAGAAATATCCTTAGTTCATATTATAAATTTGGTCTGCCCCCTCACCCTCTGAAGAGGAAATTTTTAGTGTGGAGAAATTCTGCCAGCCCGGTTCCTCTCTAAAACGTTGTGGTAATTATGATGCTTGTCATTTTAAGTGCTTTATGCCTCATCTGTAGTAATGTGGCCTAGTTGGAAAGATTTAAGAAAAAAGTCAAGTTTCCTCACTGAGTGCTCGTCCGTTCCCCCCGACCCCCAAAAGAAATATATAAAATAAAAAAGATTTATCCTTAGAGAAACAAATGACCGTGTTATTAAAAACAGAATTTCTGTTACCTCCAGTCTAGCAGAGAGAAGGCTAGATATAGTCACATTAACATATGTTCTGTGGCTAACACTGCAGGTGGTGGAAATACCCATATGTTTGTGTTCCTCATCATGCTTTTTATAACTAGAATTCTTTCTTCATTTTTTTCTCACTGTTTTTCAAGGATGTAGGAACTCAGTTTTTGCTTTAGTATTAAAAAATTGAAATGACAGTATTGTAGCCTAAAGTATCTAGTTTTCAGCAGCCCACTAATTCTGAAGTAGCTTCTAATTTGAACTCCTGCTCAGGAACCTTGACCTTGCGTTCATCAGCAGAGTTCATTGGTACGGAATTAAAGTGGTCCCTGGAAAAGGGGAGATTCTAAAATCTGTTTTTTAAAAAACAGTTTTTATATCAAAATTCAGTCATTAAAATGAACTTTATAGTAGAATAAAGTTGTTTTAGTCTTACACCATAGATTAGGAAGATATATTAATAGGCCTTTCATGTCTGTTGCATTAAGATAGATCACTACTTGTCAGTTGACAGTCATTACTGATAGTGATGAATATAATGAAAAAGCAATTATTAATGCTATAAGAATTTAAATTTTGAATTATAGTTCTCAAGTTTACTTAATACACCAAGTCATGAATTGTAACTAAAGTAAATAGTACTGTGAGGTGTTCCCTTGCTTCTTTGTGATATTTACAAACTTGTAGCTAGTTATTCAAGTGTAGAAGTATGAAAAAATTATCAATCCTTTCTAAGAAGTGAATAGTTAACATTGAATAAAATGTTAGTCATCTTTAGAAATTTGGATTGCGTAGAGTTATATGTGTACTAAAAAAATCATGTGACTGTGAATTTTCTTGTGCTTTCCTGCTATATAGATGCCCAGCCTACAGAGTCTGAGAAGGAAATTTATAATCAGGTGAATGTAGTATTAAAAGATGCAGAAGGCATCTTGGAGGACTTGCAGTCATACAGAGGAGCCGGCCATGAAATACGAGAGGTAAATCAGCTCAAGTCTACTGTTTCTCTTTTTAATCTTTGTTGTTTTCTATGCTTTATGATTCTCTCTTGCATATTAAGTGTTGTATTTAAAGGAAACTCCCTTGCAGTATTTCGAAAGTGGCTGCAGGACATAAAAGCAAAAGCAAAATAGTGTTCCACAAATATGTAATCTATGTATATTAAAGAAAATTTTATTTGCTCTCACACTTGATATTTACTGTATCCATGGGGGACTCTTGGTACTTTTTTTGGAGAGGAGGAGAGAACATGCCTTTCTGGGGCTTCTGTCCTGCCACTCTATTTTTTTCTGCTCCTCCCAAGTATCCTAGGGAAATGCTGAAATCATCCTTGAGGTTTGGACTCCTCCAGCTCTGTCTGATGGTGATTTAATACCACAGAGCAAATGTTCGGTATGGTCTCCCTCAACTTTCTGCTCCCAGACCTCTGAATTTATCCAGGTTTCTTTCTACTCATCCCTTTTTCCATTTCTTCTGTTCTTCAAAAGAAGCTATGTCTCTCTACTCCTTCCTAAGATTTATCAGAAATACTCTTCTCTACTTTTGTTCTCCATCCTCCTCTGGAATTTGACTCTTTTAATTATTTCTTCTCTTAATTGCATCTTCTGTGTTTTCCCTTTTATTGACTTTTTCTTGCAGCATGTTCACATGCTCAGCTGTTCTGTACTACCCAAAGACACCTCGGAGCTTCTTTTTCTCCATTTCTGGAAGGCGTATCCCACACTTTGTTTCTGGTACCCTTCTTTATAACTAATAGTGCACAGGCTGTCAAGCTGCTCATTGACAGTTCACATCCAACTTGGCTTCTCTAGTGGCATTCGGAGTTCTAGTGAAGGCAGAATTAAGTGCCGGCGCCAGAGGATGACAATGCAAGAAATGTTTTGGACTCAGGGGCCACCGGTTTTGGTGATTGGCTGGGCATTTAACCTAAAGTAGGAGAGAGAGTTAAGTGATTCCATGGTTTCTAAGTAAGATTAGCAGTTGGTGATACCATTAACTGAGGGAGATTACAGATGATACAAACTCTGTTTTTTATCTCTTGTGCACTAGACTGCTTGTTTCCGGAGTGTCTCGCACATGTACACTTTTGCCTTTGTTTTCGTCTGGAATATGCCCTTCCTTTTTTCTTTTCCTGTTCAGTTCCTATCCTTTCTTGAAACCCAGTGGTCTCCTTCTTCCCCTTTCTCCTTTACCTTAGTACTTGGCACATGTTTCTTTTGTGGTAACCATCACTTAGGAAAAAAGTTGCTATTTGATGTTTTTCTCTTTACCATTGCACCTCCAGCTTGAGGAGGGTAAACCTGATTATTTTTGGGTTGTCAGCACCTAGTGCAGTGCTCTGCCAATATCATTAGCTTCAGTAGAACCTTAAGATTTCAGTTAATAAAGGCATGTAACCACTTCTGTGAAATTCAAGATCTCTAAACATTTAAACATACTTTGGAAAATCAAACATCAGGAAAGTAGAAGATTTAAATGATTAAACAGGATCCCAATTTACTAATTGAAGGGAGATTCTTTCTCTACAGGTCATACCAATTCACAAATTGTTCTAAAAATGCTTCATGGTTTCTCTCTGTTAATTATTAGTGCTACAGTTTATTTTACACTGTTCATCAGTGTTATATCATTAGGCTACTTTAAAGTTTGTTTTATGACTGAATTCTTAGCAACTGGTTACAGGTGTCTTCATAAACAATAAAGAAAAAATATCATTACCTATTTGATTTTTTTTTTTAAGGTAGAACTCTGAGGATTTTTAAAAACTTCCGAAGTGGAAGGGTTGCTCTGTCTGTGGGAAGTGTTTCTTATATTGACATAATCGAATATTTAGATTCAGTTGTAGCCTGACCAGTGTGGCTCGGTTGGTTGAGTATCATCCTGCAAAGCAAAAGGTCGCCGGTGTGATGGCCAGTCAGGGCATGAGCTTGGGTTGCAGGCCCGTCCCCAGTTAGGGATGTACAAGAGGCAACCGATGGATGTTTTTCTCCCTCTCTTTCTCCCTCCCTTCCCCTCTCTCGGCAAATAAGTAAATAAAATTTAAAAAAGATTCAGTTGTAGTGTTCGAGAAGGGAGTAAAATAATGGAAAAGTTTAAACATTGGTCATTTGAAAGAGAGTTCGTGGTGCTGCTAAACCAGAGCTGTTAGCACTGTGACCACGGATTGAAGCTCCCCATAGGACGCCGCAGTCACTCAGCAGCGCTGTGTCCTCCGGAAGAGTTCGTCCCAGTGGCCCACGGCTGGGCATGTGGGCATGTAAATAAATGTCTCCAAGTTTTCAAAAGAGTTGATAGAGAAAAGTAGTACTGAAGGATACTAAGATATCAGGGGGAATAAAAATCAGTGGTAAGAGATTCACCTGTCCCAGCTCTGAGACTTATTACAAGAAAACCGTAATTAAACTATTCAGGGAAAGAATTAAGGGCAGAGAAATAGGTAAATAAAATATATGTAAAATATGTAAGCTGGAAAAGTCTTTAAAAAACAGCATTTAAATCTTCTGTAGATGGGGGATAAATGTGTAACTAAGAAGTTGAAGAAATTTTCACTGAGAAATATATATTGATGTTCGGGTTTCACTATATAAACCAAATATTTCCGAATAGTAGACAGTTTAAGAAAGAAAGGTATGAATAAAAGCTGTCTATATGCCAAATATACAAACTGCAGATACAACCAGCATAACTGTCAGATCAATATGAGGTCTTAGTAGACTTAGTAGAACAAGCATTCGACCTATGAAAAAAGCACTGACAATAGAAAAAACATCCCAGTGTGCTAACAAGTGTACATCACTGTTGAGTTTCACTAAATACAGTAATAAATTGGTAGAAGCTCAATATTGGTTGGTTTATGAAAAACCAGGTAGTCTTAATGAATGTGGTATTGTAAAATGGTTGTCTTTTTGGAGGTCAGTTTTGGCAGTGTATAAAATAAAATCTGTAAAATTATTTGTACTCATGCAGCAGAATCCTACATTTTAGAAACTGCTATCGATAAGGCTGTCATTCAAGAGTAAGTAAAAGTGAGGACTTTTATGGCCACCTTGTTCATGATAGCAAAAATGTGCAAGCAGCTCATGGAATTGTTCTGGGGATAAAGTTGAGTAACTCATGTAATAAACAGCACAGCCCGGTACCTGACACAGGAACATGGGCTGAGAGTGTACCATGATTACCATGCTGATGTGGAATTACATACATTTTTGCTTAAATAGCATTTTATTAACAGAACTCTAAATAGAATAAAATTTGCTTTAAAATAGAATCTATTGAATAAACAAAATTCTCTTGGATAAACCACTGGAAATGGAAATAAGAATGCTCCACTAATGTTTGATATATCTGTTAACAGTTTCAACATTTTTGAAAAGGAGTACCTGCTCCCTGATGACCTTGGTATTGACATTTACTAAGCACCCTTTGGCATGTTGGGCTGAATTGGTGCTGTACTAAATGTTCTCGACCAGCACTGATGTTGATGTGGAAGGAGGAAGGAATCAGAATTATAAGGAGAACCATAAAGTATCGTCATAAAAGAGCACCCATTGTCTTCGGTTCTAAATCCTAGAAAGGCAGGGAAATCGTTAACTCTACTCATATGTCAGTGGGTGACATTTGCTAGAGCATTTGATACTATGAGAATGAGTATATTTAGAAAATCATTTTTAGATCCTTGAAAGAAAAGTTGGATAGGCTTCTCAAGAGAAGAAAACATTTAAAATTTTTATTTGCTCCTTTCCTGAATAATAAATAAAATGAACAAATTTTTACTACTTGATATAAAACATTGCTGAGCTTCTGCTTGAGGCTGAAAGGATTTTTCATATACAGTGGGGTTCTATCACAGTCCCTTTGAAATATTCATATTAACATAATATGAAATAAAGATTGCTTCCTATTGTAATGTATTTTTAACATTAAAATATTTCTGGATAGTTCCATAAATGGCATTTACCTCAAGCCTCCTATTGTGTTTAAGCATTATTTAAAAAATTTAATATTAAAGAAATAAGAAATTTTGAATATAGTGTCAGGCTTATAAAGCAAATTGTTTAAATAATATATAGCCCATTTATTTAGTTTGTAGCTAATTTATTCAAGAGCATCTTCTAAATTTACCTGGTTTCAATTTTATTTTGCGTTACTGCTGTTTAGTTTTGTTGAAGATGGAGTTAGAGTACTATGGAGTTGAGAAGGCCCATTCTCGACATTCTTGGGTCCATTATTTTGTATTTTATACATTACACTCAGGTTTCTGATGTTTTCTGAAACCTGTATTTTAATGTTAAAATAATACTGTTGTGATTTTTTGGAAGTCTAACTATTTTTTCCTTTGGATTTTGAAGGCCATCCAGCATCCAGCTGACGAGAAGTTACAAGAGAAGGCATGGGGTGCTGTTGTCCCACTAGTAGGCAAATTAAAGAAATTTTATGAATTTTCTCAGAGGTTAGGTAAGTTGAAAGTTTTGTAATTATGACTTCTCTGTGAAAAAGACATCAATTGACGACACTGGAAAAAAATAGAATATTTTATGTTGACATTGCTAAATTAACATTACATATGTGAAGCAAGCTTATTAGACTGTATGATTACAGCATAAACTGTTTACACTGTTCTCCTTGACAAATAATTTCCACAAGGAAATCTCTGATTTCATTGCAGTTTAAAGGGAGCCTAGTATGAGAAATCACTTGGTAGAACTTCTGTTCAATTCTATAGCAATCCTTTTCCATATGTAGGAACTAATCCACAGGCCTCTGGACTACTTAGATTTTGGTGTTCCTAAAACCATCAGAGAGAGAGAGAGAGAGAGAGAGAGAGAGGGAGAGAGGGAGAGGGAGAGAGAGAGAGAGAGTGTGTATCTCTAAAACTGTACAAGTGGAAAACTAGGAAGCTAATGATATACCCACAGTTATTACAGCAAAAAGAATAGAACCATTGCTTTTTCCCTTACATGGGAAAAATTGTGAGATCAGATCTGTGCCTTCAATACAATGCATAAGTGAAATTGGAATTGCCTTTCTTGGAGAAGGAGGCAGAGGTAAGATTTAGACATTGAGCTGCTTGTGTAATTTAAAAGATGTACCTTGGAAGGGCTTTTCTGTGTGAAAGTGTAGACCTATAGGTATGTCTGAAATTTGAAACACGTACATTTAATTTCTTGAAACTTTTGTATTGTTTTGAGTTTTGAGTCTTACAAACATGTTATGTATTTTAAATAAATACATACAGTTTGAGTAAGAAAACCATATTGTAAGATAGGGGTCAAACTGGACCTCATAAGCTAAATTTAGACCTGAGGTGTGGTTGGTTTGGCCCATAGTTTTAAAAAAATTCTTCATTAGTTGCCAGGTTTAAAAATCGGTAATTATTTGTGATGTGTTGTTTTTAAGTCTTCAGTTGTTTGATAAAACCAGTAGCTTAGGGACCAGTTGATCCATTGATCTGCATCTCAATTGGCCAGAGCAGTGACAAACCATCTCTGTTCATTAGCATGGGCTTCCTTGTTTGCAATGGATTCCTGTTGCTTTCTAGTTTTTTATTTCTTGCTTTTAATATTTTATATTAGCTACTCGGCCCTTTGGGTTTACAACTTTTGCTTTAAAGTTGAAGTTCTTTTTAAAAAAAATGCCTGTGTTTTTAAAAAGTAAGAGAACCACTGTTCCTCCTTAGATGCAATATACACTATTAAATGTAAAGACAAATAATAGTTGACATGGAAGTAGTTTATAAATTATCCTTTTCTTACTAGAAATAAGAATTGTAGTTTATTTTCCCCAGCTTGGCGGTCACTTCTTTCGCAGTTGACCTTTCAGTCCAGAAGCTACGTAGTCTGTAGCCTGGTAGCCTCAGACCGCTAGCCTCGGTCTTTCACTCATGGCTATCTTGACTCCTTCATATGTAGAGGGTTTTTTGTACAGCAAGTTTCTGCTGCATTTATGCTTGAATTGCTTTAGATGGTGCTCTGGTCCTGCTAAAACCCATTTTTATATCTTAGCAGTTGCCAGTAAAAAAAGGAATAATTGTAAAATAGGCCAAAGCAGTCAGGCTCACGTGTTTTCTTACATCCTGACGAAATCAAATCCGGGTACTGGTATGTGTCACATCATGGGCGCAGTGCTCCCTTCGAGCAGAGGTGCACAGTAACACAGGTAACGGCGAAGAGCTGTTGGTTTCCACGTGGGGCTGTGGAAGCCTTGAACCTTCCTTGTACTTTGGGGGCTTCCGTAAAGTTAGGAGCAACGTATAAATTTACAGTCTGAAGGCATCTCATTTCTTGTCCAATAACCTGGGTAGTAATATTTCCAGTTTCCTCACTTACAGGATGCATATCCTTGATTTGCATGTGATAAGAACTGATGTTTGTTGAGTGAGTGATGCATTAACGAATACACACATCTGCAATATGAAATATGCATTGGGTATTTAGGAGAAGCAATAAGTGGATTTTGGGCTTTGGCAGCATAACAGCCTATGTTTGAATTCTGGTGTTTGCTGCTTATTGGCCTGCGGTCTTGGGCACGTCACTTAAATTCTCTGAGCTTTAGTATCCTGTCTGGATCTCCAGTCTGTTGAGTCCTCTGCTTTATGTCCCATGCCTCTTCTCTTCCTGCCTTACTGCTGAGCCAGAGATGAGGGTAAACAGCCCCAGACGCACACGGAGCACTACACAGCCATCTAATGCACACAGTCCTTCAGAATCTTTCCATGTCAAGGAGAAGGTGGCTTGCGGTGACGCTGCAGACACACCATGGGGTGTGTGCTTGGAGCAAGACCCCGATCCCTTCCTGGTTTGCAAACAGGGAGGGGAATCGCTTGACTAATTTGAAAGATACTGAGCTTTGCAGGTAGTACTTAACCTTGCTGGTCTGGGAAATATCCTGTTCTGCTTGTTTTGGTCTGAGGCCCTCCTGGGTGAGATGTAACCTAAGAGCGGGTTATGGGATCAGAAAGTAGACAAACTATGTGATCTCTCAGTCTTCCTTCCTCCTGGTCCAGGGGCTTATTACAGTGATCGTCTTCAGGGGTCATAATAGGTAAGTTTATCCTAGATGCTGACTCCTTTTCATTGGGCTAAATTTACCAAAATCTATCAGAGGCCCCAAAACGACCACAATAATTGTGGTCGTGTCTCCTGGCTGTCTTAAATCCCCCATGGACCACATCCTTTGGGTTCTCCTCTGAGGACTCAAGGGCTGCTCTCTGATAGCAGATGGATGGCAGTTGGTGAGAATACAGGGCTGCTTGTCTCTCAGGGGGAACTTTTGGCAGGGGCCCTCCCTTCCTAGTCATCCCATTGTTTCCCCTTCACGCTCTGCCTTGTGGACCAGCTGTCTTTGTTATTTCTCCCTGTCCGTCTCTTTCTTGCCAACTTCTTATATAGCTTTGGCTTTTAAACTGGTCTACCAGCTAATTTCTCCCAGAGTTTAGGGCTTAGTAGTCCATTCATTTCTTCCTTGTTATCTACCTTTCCTAAGAATCATAACTCTGTGGTTTTATTTTAGGATCTTCATCGGAGAGACCACTCCCTATGTCATTTCTTCTTTGACCTCCGTTTCTTTCCAGCTCAGCTAGAGACCTGGGCCACCTTCTAGAACCCTGTGTCTTTGATTCCTCTCTTGACGCTGGGTGTTTAGACCGTAGGTCTCTTGTGTGTCAGCAGAGGAACCAAGGGCAAGAGGCTGATCTCACTGCTTCAAAGGCAGATAAACAGCCTTACCATCCTGAGTGTCCCTTTTGCAGTACATGTGTTGTTGAGAATGTCAGCCATCCATGGACAGTTCTCTTAAGTTCACTGGCCATCCCAACTTAGCCAGGTGACCCAAGTCCGTCTCTCGGCGGGGAGGTCATCTATCCCCCAAAACGGTAGAGAGCTTTGAAATTAACCCTGAGACTTGATAAAATCTAGGAAATGCAAAAGTTTTTGGTAACAATCCTGTTTGTGTGTGTTTTAATTTTGTTTATTGATTTTAGAGAGAGGAAGGGAAAGAGAGAAGCGACGATTTGTTGTTTCACTTAGTTATGCATTTATTGGTTGATTCTTGTATGTGCTGTGATTGAGGATTGAACCTGCAATCTTGGAGTCCTGGGACAACACTCAAACCAACTGAGCTACTTGTTGGGGCCAACAGTCCTGTTTTGGTATTGGTGTGTGTTTTTTTAAATGGCTTTTCCTATTTTCATATCTCTAAAACTTTGCTTTCCACTTAACATTAATGGTGACATATGGAATGGATCTTGGAAGAAATAAACCATTTTTTAAAAAATAGTTTTTAAATTTATTTTTAGAGAGAGGGGAAGGGAGGGAGAAAGAGAGGGAGAGAAATACCGATGAGAGAAAGAAACATTGATTGGTTGCCTCTTGCGCACTCCCAACCAGGGACCTGGCCTGCAACCCAGGTGCGTTCCTTGACTAGAAATCGAACCAGCATCCTTTCAGCTTGTGGGACAATGCCCAGCCTACTGAGCCACACCATTGAGGGTGAAGTAAACCATTTTTTTTAAGTAGCCAAAAATGTTATTTCACTTAAATTGATTTTCACATTCACATTGCAGCCCTATAAAGCCATCCATAGGCCTACAATCCATTCTCCACACTTTGGAGGACGTGGAGAACTTAAATTCCAACCTGATGACATCATTCCCTGCTTAAATAGTGTTCTGGGGATATTAGGAGGACAAGGCCAGGAGGCTTCATACGGCGTGCGTGCGTGCGTGCGTGTGGTTTCAGTCCTAGGTTGCTCTTTGCCACATGCTCTATCTGCCTGTGTTGGACATGCGGTTTGTGTGCCGTGTCATGATCTGGCTCCCTGCCCTGTTTGCAAACTCTTACTCATCCTTAGAGGACGCTCCAGTCTCAGCCCAGAGCTTACTTACTCAGGGAGGTCTTTTTCTGAGCCTTCAACTAGGTGAGGTCCCATTTTCATACCTTTCCATTATACTGTGTATTTCTTCTTAACACACATCAGACTGTAATGATTTCTCTTTCTTCTCTCTGTATAATCAATCAGGCTGTGTGTGGCCATAGGAAGGAGGTGTATTTGCCTTCATCTCTGTTTCCCCAGTGCCTGGCACATAGTAGAGAGTCAGCGACTTACTATAAAAAAGGAAAATAACTACCATCTGGAGTTACTGTGTGGATGACCAGTAATGCCTGTAAAGTGTCTAGCCCAGTACTTGGCACATAACAGACACTTAAGTACGTGTGATTGGTAGTAATTAGGAGACTAATATTTTATGAGGTTACAGAAGGCCAGGTAGAATGTTGCTTTATTAGAGAGACAGCTTTTTATGGTGGAAATGTTTCTGCAGAGTCAGAAACACCTGGCATGCATAGCTACACCCTTGCAGTGTAACTTCTTTGAAACTCAGTTTATCCGTCTGTAGCAGCCATGTAATAGTTGATGGTAGAAGTTGAGTGAGAGACTAGGTTAAGCTCACAATATGCATGTTGGTTCACAATTAGGTCTTCATGAATGGTCATGAATCGTATTTTTTTACGTTAAGGGTTGATCTGACATAAATTTATTATCATTAAGAAATAGTTGTTTATTAATCTGACACTTATTAATGTCAGATCACCATCTGGCTCTGTAAGCTGTTTTCTCTCAATAGGTTGTAGAATTGTTTTCTGATTTTGTAATCTGTTATTGAATTGGTTTGATTTCTATGACTTTTTTGAATGAAATACCACTATTTCCATTTTTAAATACAGTATTTCTTAGCTTGGCATTGCAAAAATAACACTTATTTTAAAGGGACCATTTTACTTACGTCACGAACTAGAATATTTATATCATCATCCTGAGATGCCAAATACTTAAGAAACTCAGGAAGCTAATTAGTAAACTAAATATTTTGTTTCCTTTAGTAGCTCAAAGAAAGCTGTTTCTTTTTATAAATTAACAGCATATTCAAAGTATGAGAAGTCGGTCATTCATTCATAGCCATGCACAGATTTGACTGTGTGGACACAGTGCTATTGTAGAAGTTACTTAGTTGTAGGTACAATGACCATTTCATAAAATCAACACTGTAGAATGGTAAATACAGTATAAAATGTTCCCTTCGATCCTCATATTTAATTGAGTTACATTTTGCATTATTTTGAATTTGAGTTTATAGAATTATAAAATTGAATTAGCCTCTTTGTTTTTATTCTATTATACAGTATTCAGTATGAGTGATTGTATTTAGATAATCTGGATTTTTAAAGAGAACTTTACTGTATTTTGCCATGTGTAGTGTGCACTCACATTTTTGGCCTAAACTTCAGGAAAACAATCTTTTGTTTTAATTTTTAAAGTCAATTATGTATGTATGTATGTATGTATTAGATACGTTTTTTTGTACTATAAAGGAATTTTAGCATTTTTTAACATTTTGGTACAAGAAATTTTACGTAACAAAAAATTATGAAACACAATAGATACAAGGTATAAGGATTTTTAAAAAGAATTAAAAACACTTATATACATATGGAATTAGTACTACCCATGTATAATGCACATCTTTATTTTTCCCTAAAAATTCTGGGCAAAAAAATATGCATTATACATGGCAAATATGGTACCTTTATGGGAATTGAAATCACAACATTTCTAAATTGTTTACTTTCTAATTTGCAAATATCAGGAGATTGAAACATTTCAATCTTTCTCTTTAGAAGCAGCATTACGAGGCCTTCTGGGAGCCTTGACAAGCACTCCATACTCTCCCACCCAGCACCTAGAGCGAGAGCAGGCTCTTGCTAAGCAGTTCGCAGAAATCCTTCATTTCACACTCCGGTTTGATGAACTCAAGGTAGGATTTCCTGCTGGCCTTGATTGTGCGAAAATCATGAGTCTTTAAGTGAGCACTAGGAGGAACTGCCTGGGGACCCCGCTAGAATTGTGTTTCAATGATGTCTGATAGTCTTTAGCAAGAGCAGGAAAATGGATTTAAAAATTATGACAGGCCTTTTGATATATACATAGCCAATTACCCAATTCAGTCTTCATTTAACCTCGTTTTAAAAATATGTCTTAAACCACAATAATGACCTTTCGTGATATTCTTTCCTTTTCTGCTCACCCCTAGTTTATCTCCACTTTCTTTTACATAAAAATGTTAAGATATTCCCCCCTCTCCAATTTACCTGCCTACCTGCCCACCTACCTGCCCTTTACTGTGAGGAGGGAGGAGTGCGTCTATAGAAACAAGCACTAGAGCTCCTGTCCGGGAGCCTGAGCTCCTCTTGAGGCTGTGTCGCAGGAACCAGCTGTAAGGCAGGGCCTCGGACTCCTCAGGGCCTCGGTTACCTGGTCTAGAAAATGCAAGAGCTGGATTCCTAACTTCAGCATTTTATGATTGCATCATAGACAACCATTCTCTTGTATTAATGCTTTGAGTACAAATGATTTATGTGTAAAATCATAGTCTGTCTGAAGATTGGCCTGTTGGCCAGGTATGTAGGCATACTCTTACTGTAATTCCAAAACACATGCCTACAAATTTTTTCTTATTTTTGTGTATTTGGTAATATTAGTTTTTGGCAAGTAACCTTTTAGTGTTATGTGAAGTAATTAAAAAGACGAAGGGATATATACTGACAATGACTAAAAAAACAGTCTGTACAGTTTAAATGTACTGAAGTGAAGACAAGTACAGTATTAACATAATTTAAGTGCAAAAAACCCATCTTGGTGATACCAGTTTTAGTTCTTAAAATGTTATTGCAAATTGGAAGTATTATTTACCTAGCTAAAGCTGTATTAAGTAGATTTCTCACTTAGTTTTTACAATGTCATTTGTATGTAACGCATTTTTCTTTCACCGATGTCGTCTTCAGATGACAAACCCTGCCATACAGAATGACTTCAGCTACTACAGGAGAACACTGAGCCGGATGAGGATTAACAATGTTCCAGTAAGTCAGCGCTGTGAATTAGGGGGTGGTGATAACTCCTCTCTCAGTTTGTTCAGTTTGTTTTTTCATTTATTCAATCATGTGCTCATTCATTCTGATCAAGTTAAAGCTGGTAATTAAGTTAGTAACTAAGGGCAACCACAGCTGAGGGAAGAAAGAGCAAAATGCAGGAAGCCAGATAGTGCCCCCCCCTTCTCCCTTCAGTTCCTACTGCTACCTCAATAAAACTATTTTTTGTCTATATAACATTTGTATTTACCAGATTTCTCTGTGTATTCTCATTTTATCGGCATAATGGTTTGTGCATTAGTGGTTTGGAGTATTTTGTTCCTGTGCTCTTGGAATGGAAGACCCTGCAGAGAAAGTGGCCTGGGATAGGAGGTACTGATGCTGGCAAGAGGGGGCAGCGAGGTCGTGGCCTGGAGCAGTCCCTCTCTGCCTGCCTCTTGGCCAGCATAGTATCTGTTCTGGTTTCTTCAGGCTTGTGAGCCTCTTGACTTCTCATCTTAAGCTGTTTAGTACCCTTTCTGCCTCCAGGGAGTCAACTAAAGGAAAACCTTAAATATTAAGAAAATACTATCTTTTTCTCTAGGTATTTTGAGGCCTACATTTTACAGAAGATAGAGAAATTTCTAGGCTCAGCCCTAACCTCTAGTAGATTGTTTAATAAAGATATAGTACATAAGTATGTAAAGAGTGCTGAGTGGGACTAGAGGTTAGAAACAATACCGAAGGAGACCTTTCTTTTTTTTTTTTTTTTTCCTTTTTTTCCTTTTCTTTGAATCAATATTTTATGATGTGGTTGCTCCTAAGGCAGTCCTTGGGTGTGAGGAAAGATTTCTTTTCCAAGAAGCAGCTGTTCTTTAGAACAGCTAGATTCTGCATAGTCCAGATCCTGCTGTGAGACTGACCTTATCATCTGTCTTTTTCATACCTACCATGTAAAACAAAATAAAAGCAAAACACTCAGTTATCTATTATATCCATCCTGCCTCACTCAAGACCAAAGACATTAAAATCACCTTTGTGCCGTCTTTCACCATCCAAAGTTACAAGTAAATTCAGTCCTTTTCAAGTGAAATTTCTCTCAAACCGTCTCCCGGTTTCATCCCTCTTGAAGCCTAATTCTCACTCTCTCCCTGGCAATCGTTCTGTAGCAGCAGAACTCCTTTTCTGACCTACAGTCTTTCTTCTTGGAACAATCTGCCCACTGTTGGCATTAACTTTCTTTAGAAAATTGGCGTAGTTGTCATTCCTTTCTTCTAACACTTTAAGTGGTTCACCGTCACAGATAAAAGATGTTGGGCAGCATCGAAGGCCCTCTACAGTCCGACCCCCACCTTTCTTTCTGACCTTGTCTTTCACCAGTTGCTGCCCCTTATTATGCTGAACACCTTGAGTTACATGGAATTACACTTTTCCAAGTCGTTAGAAAACATGCTTTTCCCCTCCAGCTGGCTGGGTATACCTGTCCATCATTGCCTGCAAAAGCCTAACTCTTCTGTGAGTCCGTTTTAGTTTCTTCCAGTCTAGCTCAGTCTCCCCTGCCCCTTTGCCATCACTGCCCGGTAGCACGCGGTTGGGCGTGCTTGTGTGTTGCGGGTGGGGCAGGGTGCAGTGTCTAGCGCTCTTCCTGTCTTCCCTGGCGTTTAGAATAATCCCTTTACACAGAAGGCAGTCTGTTAGTGTTCTGTTTCATTGCTTAATAGTTAAAGCACAGGGTGGGGCAAAACTAAGTTTACAATTGTGAGTACATGGAACACAGTTTCTTCTTGTATTATTACTTATTGATTATTGTATTTTCCATATGAACAACTGTAGACCTGCTTTTTGCCCTACTCTGTTTTTAAAGAGGTTATCTTTTTTTAAAAAATGACTCGATACCATTTTTAATCTATTTTTAAAGAATACTTGAGGGTCTAAAACATAACTTAAGAGTATTTATTAGATTAATTTAGCCAGTATTAATGAGGTAGGTACCTTTATAAATCAGATCATATTTAATAATTTATGAACTGACATCAGGTGCTCTTATTTTGCACACAGGCAGAAGGGGAAAATGAAGTAAATAATGAATTGGCAAATCGGATGTCTTTGTTTTATGCTGAGGCAACCCCAATGCTGAAAACCTTAAGTGATGCCACGACAAAGTTCGTATCAGAGGTAAGCATTGCCTGGGAAGTCACTGCTTGGGCTGCTACTCTGTCCGCCCGCGGACATGAAGATTGCAGCGGGTCCCGTGCCGTCAAGGGCCAGCTCTCCGCTGATCGGCGCCCGGACGCGCACACTGAGTGCTGGCCCCTTTCCTGAGGCCCACCTGTGCGCATGCCACCTGCCTGTGCGCATGCCACCTGCCTGTACTCAGCCTCCCACCCCGCACATGGTCCGCACCTCAGCGGCGTTGTGGTTCTCCCCAGCCCTGCCCTTTCTCCAGTCTCTCCTGTCTCCGTTAATAGAGTCACTGACAGGCACACTTCATGTTACTGTGCTTCACTTCACTGCACTTCACAAATGTTGCATTTTTTACAAATTGAAGACAAGACTGTGTACCAGTCCAAAGGTTAAGACTTGCTTTATTGCGGTGGTCTGGAACCAAACCCACAGTATCTCCACGGCATGCCTGTACAAGCAAATAACTTACAGCTTATCCTAAATCCCCTTCTTTTTCTTACCCACTACGTCCACTCCATCAGACAGTCGTATTGGCTCTCTCTCAAAAATATGTGCTGAATCTGAAAACTGGGTCCCTCTCTTGCCACCTCTTCTCGTGAGCCCCTGACCCCCAACCCAGATTATGCATCTGTGTTCTTACTGTTCCTCTCTCTTCCACTGTTGCCACTAGAGCCCTTTCTCCAAAGAGCAGCCACATAATCCTAAAACACCATCCTCCTCTGCCTAAAATGTGCCCCGTGATTTCCCAGTGCACTCGGGACAAAACCCACACACTCCTGCCTCCTTGCCCCTGTCTGCGCGCCGTGGCGTCTCCCCTCGGCTGCCCCGGGGAACAGGTGCTGGCGGCCGGCTCGCAGCTGGATCCCCAGGGCCTGGAGCAGTGCCGAGGCCCAGTGCGTTGCTTGTATGAGAGGAAGAGTAGGAACCAGATTTTACAGTTGCTGATTTTCGATGTTATGCTAGGTTTTAAATTATATTTATTCACTGTTTGTCACTTACTTTTTTTTTCCTCCATACGCCTTTACAGAATAAAAATTTACCAATAGAAAACACCACCGATTGTCTAAGCACCATGGCGAGTGTGTGCAGAGTCATGCTGGAAACACCGTGAGTGTCGGCTCATCTTTTTAACCCCCACAGTCTGGTTGAAATGGTTGTCCAGGCATGAGCAGGTCATATTTGGAAGGTGGAAATTAAGTATCTCCTGGGTAACCAATGTTAATATATGAATAGCATTAAAATTACTTGGCAGCATAATGTAACTTTTGGTTAAGTGTGAAGTCCAGTTGATTTTCAGGTGCCTCAGACCAGTCAGACTAACTTAGACTATTCCAGTGTGGATTTTGTGGTGCTTTTGTGGGTAGGAAGGGGAAGAGTTTTAAAGGTTTTTGTTTTGCTTTTCATAAACATTCTTCCTTTTCAGTAAAGAACATTGCTTTGCTCTTCTACATATCCCTTTCTCTCGGTATTAGTTCTGTCTGTTTTTTTCACCATTGTCCTGCATTCTCCCCTGGGCCCCTCCTCTCTCTCTCGAGCCGTTTGTGATGTCTGCCACAGTGTCGTCTGGCTGGATTTTCCTGTCACAGGCAGAAAGGCCCCATCCTGGGTTCCTGAAGTATATATGGTTTTACTGGAGAACTTTTGTTTTTGTGGAGCTTTTGATTTTCCAAACCACTATTATGTGTACTGTCTTACTGGAAAACCTTATGAAGCAAGAGGGCAGCTGTGAGTCTTCATCATCATCTTCCTCATCCTCCGCCTCGCTATGGAGAGAGGGGCCCTGGGAAATGGAGGGTCCTGTGCGCACTGACCGACCCCACATACGTGCCCGATCTCTCCACCCTGCTTCTGCACTCTTGCTATTGTGCCAGGCTGCCTTCTGTAGAGACAGAAGTTCCATCTCCTGTTTCCAGCGAGAGACTTATATGATTGAATGTTTGAAAATTAAAATCCATTAATACAATTAATGTGTTTAGATCAAGTTAGCAGATACACTTGCTCTTAAGCTAGTGACTTTTGTCATCATATTGGTGACAACAACCTTTACAAAGCACCTATTCCCAAACTTTTACTTTGGGGCTACTTTGGATTTCTCTAAAATTGTCTGGTTTCTGCTAGCAGAATGGGTAATAATACACAAAGGTGCATACATAACATGCAAGTGCTAACCGCTCCGTCCCCTTCCTGTCTGGGGGTCCCTTTGCGGGGAAGAGGGTGACCTAACATGAGCAGCTGTTGTAGAGGTTAGCAGGTGCGTCTTCGAATTAAACGAGCTTGTTGATGTGTCGTATGCCTCATGCGGCCCTGTCCTTCCTGCCCTCCAGGGAATACAGAAGCAGATTTACAAGTGAAGACACAGTGTCATTCTGCTTGAGGGTAATGGTGGGCGTCATAATACTCTACGACCATGTACATCCAGTGGGAGCATTTGCCAAAACTTCAAAGATTGATGTAAGTTGCTTATTTTATGTACTTCCCAACAGTTTCCGTAACTGAAAGCCATTGGCTGTCACTGAAGAGCAGGCAGGCTGCCCTCTGTCCAGAGGGCAGGGTTGCAGTCTGTGACAGTGGCGGCTTTGGCCTCCCCTGCCCTTGCAGGGTTTGTCTACAGGTGGGGCAGACGGGCTGAAGGGCGACTCTGTTGTCCGTTAGAGGATGTCCTTGTAGGGTAGGGCAACCTCATACTCGAAAGTCACCCTGCTGCGTATGGGGCAATATGAATAAATGATCAGATGTAAGAGAAAATTTTTTGTTGTATCCTTTTGTTCCTTTGACCAAAGGCCATTTCAAAGAACAGATTGATTTGCAAATACACAGGGAAGGGCAAAAGTAGGTTTACAGTTGTGAGTATGCAAAACATAGTTTATTCTTACATTATTTATTAATTATTGTATTGTGTTTCTATACAAACCACTGTGAACACCTTTGCCCCACCCTGTCTACTAAACATGGATAGAAGTGCTCCAGTGAAAAAAGCTGAAGACTACACATTTGCCTTTCTTCTTCCATTCATAAAAATTTGTGGCTATAGCCTCAGTTTTTCTGTTTTGTAATTTCTTTCCTCACTATCTCATATCTGGTTCATCAGAATTAATGGTTGACCAAAAAGTTTGTTTGTTTTTTTTCCCCAAACCAAGATGGCTCTAGTAGCACTTAGTTGTCTTTAACTTCATTCAGAACAATTGTTTTAGATTGTATTGTGACAACTGTCATATCAGCATGCATTTAAAAAAAAAAAATTGGTGAATTTTTGTGTAGCTATTTTAATATTGACGATGGAAGAAAATATCACATTTTTGGCATATTAGGCTTTATTATTTTGAGAAAGGTAAAAACGCAACTAAAACGCAAAAACGAAGAGTTGTGCAGTGTATGGAGAAGGTGCTGTGACTGATCGAACGTGTCCAAAGTGTTTTGTGAAGTTTCGTGCCAGAGATTTCTCACTGGATGACGCTCCACGGTTGGGTAGAGAAGTTGAAGTTGTTAGTGATCAAATCCAGACGTTAATTGGGAACAATCAACATTATACCACACTGGAGAGAGCCGACATACTCAAAATATCCAAATCGATAAAGTTAATGGTGGGCCCTGGCTGCTGTGGCTCAGTGGATTGAGCGCTGGCCTGCGAACCGAAGGGTTGCCAATTGAATTCCCAGTAAGGCACATGCCTGGTTTGCAGGCCGGGTCCCCAGCAGGAGGCGTGTGAAATGTAACCACCTATTTATTGATGTTTCTCTCCCTCTCTTTCTCCCTCCCTTCCCCTCTGTCTAAAAATAAATAAATAAAATCTTTAAAAAAACAATAAAGTTATTGGTGGAAAAGAAAAATGTGTCTTTTACTTTACAGAAAAAAACCATACAAGAGTTTTTTGCCAGCCCATTGTAACCAGTGTTTGGTGAGAATTATCTTCCAGTTTCCCTTTCACAGCTGGTTCAGGCTCTCAGCATTTCCTATCTGGATGGCTGATTGCCTTCATTCGTGTCCATCACAGGGAGAGAGAAATGAGTTCGTTTATTGAGAGATTACTGTGTCCCAGGAATTTTACATTTGTTCTCCTATTTAACTCTGAAGATACACTGCAGATGTAGGCGTTATCTCCCCTGTACTAATAGAGAAAATAAAGTTTAGGAAATTAGTAATATAATTGCCAGTAAACAGTGAAGCGGGATTTTGAACTCACATCTTCATTGCTTCCAAAGCCTGTGGGTTTCTGCTGTGCTACGCATTTTCACAATGAGCAGGCTCATCTTCTTACATGTCATCTTCATTGACTTGTTCCCTTTTTTAACAGCCTCTAACAAGTCCCTACTGCCACCCCATCAGTTGCAAAGGGGTCCTCCTGGCTTTGAAGGCCTTCTCTAAACTCCCCTATGGGAGCTGTTTCAGTTCTTCAAATTCTGTCCTCTGCGTGCGATGCCCTATATCACCTTTGTCGTGGCGTTTGTCTTCTGGAGAGCTCCTCCTTTCCTTACCAGCGTATCTGTTTCAGCGCCTTGTCAGGAAGTCTTCCCTTAGCTGACCCTGAGTTTTCTCATGAGTGTGGGTGGTGCTTCAGTCTGACTGACTTGGTTCTTTCACTGGAAATAATAAGATTTAGGTAGATTTTTCTTTTCCTAAGAATAATTACATTTCTTGTGTGTGCTCTCTCATGGTTCTGTAGTTGTGTTCTAAAGTATTACTATTTCAAATGTGAATGTTGGATGAAAAAAACATGTTTTACCTTTTTTGTTTCCTTTTCTCCTAGATGAAAGGTTGTATCAAAGTTCTAAAGGACCAGCCTCCTAATAGTGTAGAAGGTCTTCTCAATGCTCTCAGGTATGTGTATATATGTGTATATATGTGTACACGAGGATCAGAAAGAATATATAAGAAAGTGAGAATAGCACAAAGTAATGGATGTAACCATTCAAGTTAGAAATGTGAAGATCTTGTTTTGCTTATTGGTAATTTTGCTTCAAATGTTGGCCACCATATTTTTATAGTGAAATTTCTGTGTTTGTGTGTATAATAAGAATAGCACTTTATTTCTTTTCTAAAGAGTATGATTTTTGCCTTCCGCCCCTCTTGAAGCAGAGGCTGCTTATTTACAATGCTAATGTAAATAAAATCCAGAAACATGAAAGTTTAAAGAGAAAGAAATCATGAAATCTCACTATTTTGAAATAAACCACGATTAATATTTTGGTAAATATCCTTCCAGATTGTTTTCTTTACACTTGTATATAGTCACAGCTCTGTAAGATAGTTGTCTTTTCTCAGCTTAGACTCAACTTGATTTAATTACTGAAGCTCCTGAGAATGCTGGAACATTTTTAAGTGAAAATGTTGGCACATTATAATGACTTGGCTAATTGAATCTTTATCTAATTTCTATCTACAGAGATTTAATTAGTAGTATAATTTCCCCAACATTAAAGATGATTGTCTTGTTGTTTTTTGTGTGTGTGTTTAAACACAAAAATTATATGAACATAAGAATATTTCTCTAGTGACTTTGGGAGGTTACATGCTACCTGCACTTTTCACTGCAGTGCTTTGTAGTTCTCATACTAGAATAAAATGATTTCCAGTAGAGTATTAGATTCCCCACGTTTTGTGGAGAATACTCAGTCACACCTGGTATGACATCGTAAAGCAAGGTCTAGGCTGTGTCGTGTTATCTTGAGTGCAATCAGCAAATAATTTTGTTACAGCTGTGGAGAGTGTGCTGTACTCAGTGGCTGCCTGAGTAAAGGAGGTCAGTCCTAAGTGAACATCAGGGTGATTATGGAACATAGTAAAACAAGAAAAAAATCCTTAAAGTGTTACACTGTTTCAATCACAAGCCTACGAAAACCTCAAGTTTTTGAAATGTTTTACTGGAGGTTTTTCATTGGTTTTGCCAATATTTGAGGCATTGTGAATCTGTCCTACCTGGTCCCTTTCCGAAGATGCCCTGTGTCCCAGGCAGCCCGATTTTTCTCCTGAGCCCTTTTCTCTAATGGGTGAGATGCTCCAGAGCCAGCAAGGGACAGGAATCCTTTGTAAACAGTAAGAAGTCATTGAGGTCTAGGTGGTTTCAGGATTATTTCTTACCTCGAAGAGACTGTGCTTCAAATATTAATTTTAAAACCCAGAGTATGGTTTTCTTGTCAGAGTTTGAAGTTAGTTCGGTCTCTTACTTCAGCATCAAGGCAGAGAAGGGCGGTGGCGGGGGGAGGCGCAGGGCTGGCCTCCGGAGCCCCGTGCCCGGCAGCCTGGGCTGGAGGGGAAGGTCGGGGAAGAGCACCCAGGAGGCAGGGCGCCTCTTTGCTAGTCCGTAACGGACGTTCAAACACGGAAGTTTGTTGCAGTGATAACTCTTGACCTCTTACACTTAGTGAACATATTTTTATTTTTTCATAGTTTTGCTGCTTATTTTTTCATATGCCAAGCTTGGTAAGGTTAATCAGTACACTTGATGCCATGTAGTAGTGGTTATAATGAGTGACATTTTTATATCAGTAAACTTACCATGCAGTGTCACATATATGACTTTATCTGATCTTAACCATGGCTCCATGAGGTAGGTGGTGGGTCTGGGCTGTTGGGCGCCTTCATTGCACAAAGAGGTACCTTAAACTCTAGAGAAACTAGAGGGTTACCTAGTTAATAAACATCAGAATCTATTTTCAGAGTCAGGACGGCATCTTGAGAAACGTTTGATGCTGTGTCGTTTGCTGCGTGAGTGAATGTCAGTGTGCTTTGGGATCACCTGGACGGACAGGCAAATGCAGATTCCCGGGCTCCCGACTCCGGAGAGGCTGCTCACTCATTAGGTCTGGGGGGGGGTGCGCTCAGCCCCACCGTGTCATAGACACCTTAGCCGGTGCAGCTAATGCTGGCTCTCGGAGAAACACGGCTCCGGCAGTGTCAGCCGCGCCCTTGCGCTTCAGTGGGGGCAGAAGGGAGATTGTCCAGAAGGCACTGGTAGCCCCGCACGTGCTGTGGGAGGGTCGCTGCCACTCACACCTCTACACAGTGGGCACATTTTCGCTGGGTCGCTTTCTTTCTCAAGAAATAGCCATTTTACTAGAGATGCTCCCTCCTTTTTCCCTCAAATAGTTTTTCTTAGAGCCAATAGCAAAAAACCAAAAATTTTAAACGGGAGTATAATTGCACACAAAGGTATGTTGCTTATTTTGAATGCTTTTCTGTAGTAATTATATAGTTTGTCCAACTTACAGTATGTGATTAAGAGAAAGCAACAAGCCAGGCCTGCCTTTCATAGGTGGAGAAAAGGAGCCAAATGCCTTCGGTCATACAGGAGAAAGAAAGCTGGAACTGGGAGTTAGGGTTCGGTGCCAGACACCTGCCTTCATTAAGTTCAAGAGTGGGGTAGATGATCGTTGCTGTTCTTAAGCAGGAGAAGGCATGCGCACTCGGAAAAGGAGGAGGCGCACAAAGCAAGGCTGTGCCGTCCGTGTCCAGTCTTTCCATGTGCACTGGACGGCATTAGCCTTTTCTTGATAAAAGAGTGCGGTGATGACACCACCCATGGGGCGTGGCTCTGTCCAGGGACATCTCTGAGAGGCCGCTGGGCACTCCCGGCCACACCCTCCCTCAGCCGGCGCGGAGCGGGGGTTGGGCAGAGTGGAGGGCGCTCACAGCTCCTGGGATGCCACAGTGCGTTGCTGCGTGGTAACACCAGCAGGTACTGTGCAGGGGACATTTGCTGTGCACATGACTTGCTCCTTCCACTTTCCAGTTGCATAAAGAGAAAATTCTTATTTCCTGGCATCAGTAGGATTATATGTAGCTACATGCACTTACATATGCCGTTGGGAAGTAAAACAGTAAGGTTAATAAGTCTGTGCTACCTCGCCTATCACGTAATACAAATATGCCTGTAGGGATTTTTCTTTCAGCCTGGCTGCTTCCTTTCTTATCTCCCTAATGCACAAATGCTAACTGAGCACCTATTATGTGCCGGGCACTCTGGTGTGCATTCTGTAAGAGGAGAACGATTTGGAAGTGACTTCTGAGTAAAATTGTAGAGTGTGGCAGATACCTAATAAGCATGTGCTTGTCTCTTTACCTCTCTAAGCATTGACCTGAGTTCAGACATTTCTTCAATTTTTAAATTGATATGAAATGACCGTAATAAGAGTTTAAATTTCTTTAACACAGACAACATGTGTATGTCTGTTTAAAATAATATATTCCTTAAAGACAACTGACTATATGAAATTCTTGTAAGCCAATTACAAGAAGTTCTGATTGAGCACTGAGTTCTCTCTGAAGTATCTCCACGATATTTCTCACATTCAAGCTTGAGCACCTGTTTCCATTGCTGCTAATCTGGTCCAGGCCCTGGTCCCGAGGCCCCTGTAACAGCAGCCCCGTTGGTCCCTCTGCTGCTCCTGCTGCTCCCTGCAGCGCCCCCACAGCAGCCAGAGGGACCCTTTGAAAACATCGGGGAGATCCCACGGGGCTCCTCTGCTGCGGACCCGCCCCGGCCCTCAGCGCCTCAGACTCCCACTGTGGCCGCAGTGTCTGTGGGACCTGGTCATTCCTGGTCCCTCAGGCCCCACCCAGTGCTGCCCGCTCCGCTCCCAGGTGCGCCCCTTCTCTGTGTTAGTAGGTGCAACAGCATCTTTTTCCTCTGCCAGCTTGTTAGTTAGCTCCAGGACCCGCGCGTTACACATAGTAGGCTTGCCTATTGCAGTTCTGCTGTTAAAGGAATCCTATGGTGAATCTTCTCATAACATAAGAATTGCTCTTGGTGACTCTTTTCTAGAGTCTGAATTTTGTGTTTACATACTTAGAGCTAAATACATCTGCCTGGTCAGCAAACCTTTTTGTAAAGGGACAGAGAGTAAGCTCATATTTTCGGCTTTGTGGGCCACATGGTGTCTGTCACAGCTGCTCAACTCCATTGCTGTTGCAAGAAGGTAACCAGAGGCCATACTTAAATGAATCAGTGTGACTGTGTTCTAGTAAAACTAAAATTTTAACTTTATATAATTTCTGCATTAACATGAAGTAGTATACTTTTTTTGATCCTTCTCCCCCCATTTAAAAATGTAAGAATATGCTTAGCTCACAGGCCACACAGAAATGGGTAGTAGGTGGGATTTGGCTCAAAGGCCACAATTTGCCGACTCCTGAGATAGAACAACGGTAATTTTCCTCTTGAGTGAGAAAGTGCAGCTAATTGTTGACTTTGGAATTGAACCAGGTCGGTTCAACGAAGTTGAACAGCTGTTGGCTGCTCGCTGTGAGCGGTGGTGGTGGGGATGCGCCGGCGGCCCCTGAGCAGGGTCGCAGCTGGGGTGCAGGGTCGCCCGGCCAGTCGCTTAGCTTGTCAGGATTGCAGAACCTGATGCAGATAATGTTTGTTTGTGTGTTTGTTTGTTTGTTTTTTAATTCCCAATTTTTTCCCCCACTTTTAGGTACACAACAAAACATTTGAATGATGAGACTACCTCGAAGCAAATTAAATCCATGCTGCAATAACACTTCTGGAATGAGCACCTGCTGTAGATGGAAGACAGTATTCTGCAGTGGCCGAGAATGCATTTTTTAGTGATTGCAATTCCTTTCTCATTTACTCTCGCTTTTTATTCCTTTCCTCTGTTCCTCTTCCCTCTTTTTAAATCATGTTCTTGTTCTTAAGACTTCTTTTCTGTGCCAAAATCAGTAAAGTTATACTCTGAAGGGGCATTGTCCTTTCAAACTGGCCATCTAAGGCAGCTAATTATGCATTGCATTGGGGTCTCTACTGAGAAAAATTCTGTGACTTGAACTAAATATTTTTAAATGTGGATTTTTTTTTGAAAACTAATATTTAATATTGCTTCTCCTGCATGGCAAAACTGCCTATTCTGCTATTTAAAAACCCTCAACGACTTTATTTTCTACTGCCGCTTTTTTCATGTTCAGCCAAAATGAAAATGTTTAAATTAACTGTGTTGTACAAATGGTACCCAACACAAACTTTTTTTAAATTAGTAAGACTTTTGTTTAAAGTTTTAAGTTTGCATTTTGACTTTTTTGTAAGGATGTATGTTGTGTGTTTAACCTTTATTAACTAACGTTAAAAACTGTGATGTGTGCGTAGGGTATTACGTATGCATGTTCATGTTTAAAGAATGGCTGTTGATGATAAAATAAAAATCAGCTTTCATTTTTCTAAGTGTGGCTTGGTTTACTGAGGCTTCGTTTTAGGTTTCTAAAGCTTTCCCCGTGTATATTTTTATGAAATGCGTATACACATTACATAATTTCCCTTCTTTTAGGAGAGAGCTGGGTCTGTTTAGTAGTACTTTTCTCTATTATTGTCTATGTGTACCCAGTTTTTAATTGCTTTTAAAATCTTGCTTAGTGCAGTAAGACCAGTGATCTTGTTGTTAGTGTGACTCTTGTTCTTGCTTTCACTCTGGTGTGGATGTAGTGACACAAGAAAAGCTCCGCCCTTGCTTGCTTGGCTTTTCCCAGGAGCGAGAGGGTAGCGACAGGAAGCAGCGCGTGGAAGGAAGAAGAGCCTTTCATGCTGGGAGGAGAGTGAGGATAAGGGGCGCTTTCCAGGGGAATCTGAAGGCTGTGACCGCACGAGTGGGAGGAAGTGAGCATGTTTGCTTTTGTGAGGTCCTAACACCTCGATCGTGAAACCTGAGTGTGCCGATGGGGAGAAGCTGCTGAAAGCTTGACTAGTCCGAGTGCTCTCGCTGTATTGGGAAGAGAACCTGAGCTCTGATTCTGTGAAAAGGGTTCACTTTGGAAGAAAGTCCTGGAGGCTCCCATCCAAACAGGCCAAACAGTGCTGGCTCGGGAGCCCACGGCACTTCTGCTGACGCCCATGCCGGCCGCTGTGCCGGCAGCTCACGGCTCCCACTCATGCTCCGCTCTGCAGCCGGCACCAGCCGCTGGCTGTTTGGATGGCTGCGTGTGGCGCCACACGTCCCTAACTCGGGTCTGGAGGCGCCGAGCCCGTCGTCTTCCTCCTTCCTGCCCACCTGGTGAACCACCACTGCTGCCTTTCGAAGACCAGCTTGTGCGACCTCCTTCGTGAAGCCTTCAGGATGACATGAGCCACGTCCCTCGAGGCACCTTCTGAGAGAGTTGTTACGGGTGAAATGTGACCCCCACAAAGGCATGCCCACCCACAACCTGAAAATGTGTCCTCGTTGGGAGAGAGCATTTTTGCAGATGAAATTGAGGATCTCCAGGGAAGATCCCCCCGCAGGAGAGTGGGCCCTGAATCTAACAACAGCTCTTTGTAGGAGGAAAGAAGGGGAAACAGACAGAGAGCAGAAGGCCACGTGAAGTGGAGGCAGAGGTGGAGGCCGAGGGCAGAGCCACGTGCCTACCAGCCCAGGAACCAAGGGTTGCAGGCAGCCACCAGTCCCGGGCCGGGTTCTTGCCCAGCCTCCAGAAAGAACCATCCCTGCCGACCGACACCTTGACTCCCAACTTCTGCCTTCGGGGACTGAGAGAAGACGTTTCTGGAGCTTTAAGCCACTTGTGGTCATTTGTTGTGGCAGCCCTAAGAATCTAATACAAGTAGTTCATGCAACACCTCTGATATTGAACTGCACTTGTGGGTATCTTTTCTGCTTCTCTGAGGACTTGGGAGAAGAGCCGTGGTTGATTTGCCTTCAGGGTCCTGAGGACCTTGCCCGCGCCTGAGCTTCAGCCGGCCTGAGTGAGCGCTGAGTGCGGTGGGCGAATGTAATGATGTAGCCGGAATCCAGTCATCCTGCCGTGGCCTTTGCCGTTAACATGGTTGACCCTCTGCATGTTGGGGAATACGGGAGACTCTCCAACTCTGCCCGGGGGCTTAGCCAACGGGTCTGTGGGCCAGTCTGCGCAGACCAGTGTTAAAAGATTGAAAAATGATCAAAGGAAGAATATTCTGTGGCACGGGTCAAGTCCATGAAATTCAAGTTGTAGTGTCCATCAGTAAAATTGTATTGGAACACGGCCTCATTTGTTTATGTGTTACTTTTAACTACTTTTGTGCCACAAGAGCAGAATGACATTCTTGTGACCGGAGGACATATGGCACTCAAAGGTGAAAACACTTTCTTCCCCTTTACAGAATGAGTTTGCTGACCCCTCCTCGAATCATAAAAGCAGGTTAATTTGAGAACCTTGTGTGAGAGAAACAGGTGCTCGGAATGACAAAAGGAGCCCTCTCCGCTGTCAGGAAGTGGATTTAACTTCAGGGCTAATTTTTGCTGTTCACAGAGCCAAAGACCACAGAAAGGCGCCTTCTCGCCCGCGGAGTCTGACCTCGTCCTCAGGGTCTGTCCTTAGAGGAGCGGGTTGTGAGACCACAGGTCCTCAGGACCGAGCACCAGGGTTGGCCAGCAGGCCTGCCTGCTGGTAGGAGGGGAGCTGCGACGCCCTCCGTGTAGGCAGGCCTTGGCTCACGCAGTCAGCCGCCCTCAGCCCCCCTTACCCCTGAAACCATCCCTGTCCCAGGCCTGGGTCCTTGGGCCCCTCCCTTCACAATGTCAAGTGTCTACTGTGGCCTGGCCCGTCTTCCACCAACTAGAGCTGGGATCGTCTCACTATTGCCCCCTTTCTGCCTGGAGGAGCCAGACTCTTCAGTCTGCTGTTTTCTCACTTCAGTGATTTGAATTAAAAAGCATCCTAGGCTCTTCTGAGATTGCTCCATGTATTTTAGATCTGTCCTAAGAATAATGAGCATTTGTGTTTGAACCCAGGTGTTTTGATTCAAAATGACATCTGGTTCCCTTTGAGATTGCAGTGACTGCCATTCCATAAATGCTTACAAAATAATCCCGTACAGAGCAGACTTAAAACATTTACATTGTGATCTCAGAAGGGGTCTAAAGCTCTGTGGTGAAGACTGGAAACAAGCCTCGTCAGTTGTTTGGAACTATTTTCCTCGTCAAATGAGACTTGTGACAGAAGATGTCTTCATTTTGATTCCATGTTTTAAATACATGTCTTACATACAGGGTGGAGCAAAAGTAGGTTTACAGTTTGTATAGAAAATAATACAATGATTAATAAATAATACAAGCATAAACTATGTTTCGCGTGCTCACAGCTGTAAACCAACTTTTGCGTACTCTGCATACTGTCAGCAAAAGGCAAGCGGTAGTGTGAACAGTTCAGATACAGGATTCACAGTTGGGGAACTTCGGGTTAACTTGGTGGGACTGTGGGTGAGTCTCATGTCCTCATTTATAAATTACCTACCTCTCCGTAGTGGCTGTGATGTCGTGGGCTCATCACAAGTGCCCGATGCCCATCCTCTTAGGACCATCATGACATCTAACTATATAAAAACAGCCACGTAGCCTATGTCAGGTGCTGTCTGTAAACATGTATCATTTCCCGTTTAACCCGGAGGGGGAGTCTGCAGTGACAGTTCTAACTGTTGTCCTTAGCCTGCCAGGGTGTTGGGCAAAGCCGTGTGACTTTAACGCACCCGTTAGAGATCCTGTAACTGATGAGTGAGGCTTGCCGTAGCTTGCTATGTGGTAGTCCCCAGTTTTCTAAATAGGCAGGCGATGAACTGCATATTTGAAGCCAAAACTAGCCACACAGTTATTTTAAAAGTTGAGCTCCAGGATGATGATACGTGGCTGCAGAGTGTGTTCACGTGTTCATCTTTATGTCGTCATGGTTTAGAGAGCACCTGCCGAGGACCCGCGTAGACGGTGTCCCAGGCCTATAGTGGGCGCCTGCTGGGGCTGTTGAGGAGGAGAGCAGCGGTTTCTGGGTGAATAAAGTGGACAGAGAAGGCCACATAATAAGGGCAAATGTTGGCGTATATTCTCCAGTATGTGGCCTGCATATTGTATTGGCACAAAACACGAAGATCTTCCTACTGTCTCTTTGGAGCTCCTTTCTCCCTGGACATTGTGACGCCATGACCTATGGGGTCTCCTTTTATGGGACTATGTCCATTCCTTTATGGGCTCCTGTCCCCTGTCGGACACTTACATCCGATTGTTAGGCAAGCTTCGGAACTTCGAATGTTTCTCTACAAGAAATGTGAAACTGGCCAGGAAGGGGCAGGATGGGGGCGGGGGTAGGCTCGAGAGGGGCTCTTCAGTTACAGCGCACAGGTGTAACGATCGCCCCAGGCACTGTTTGCAGGCTCCTTGCCTTGTTCGCTGCACGGATGGACCTCCAGGGCATTATGCCGAGTGAGATGAGTCAAAGAAAGAGAAACGCTGTGTGATCTCCTGTGGAAGATAAAAAGCCACACTCATGAAGCAGAGTTGAAGGGTGGCTGCCAGGAGCCCGGGAGTGAGGGAAATAGGGAGATGCTGGTCAAAGGGCCCAGACTTCTAGTTATAACTGCTGGGGCATCTGATGCCATCTAGGTGACTATAATTAACAACACTGTGTTGTATCCTCGAAGTTGTTACGAAGGTAGATCTTAAATGTTATTGCCACAGGATAAATGGTAATTACGTGAGGTGCTGGAGGTGTTAACTAACCTAAATGTGCTAATCGTTTTGTAACATATATGGGTATCAGATCATTACATTGTGCACCGTAAACTTACATGTTATATGTCATTTTCTCAAAAAGCTGAGGAAAAATAAAATAGTAAGGTAACAGTTTCCAGGTTCCCCTTCAGAGAATCTGGTTCAGACAGTACAGAGTGAGGCCAGGGATCCTGCATTTCCACATGCATCCCGGGTGATTGCGATACAGGGGGTCCCCAGGCCGCCCAGAAAACAGCTGCCACACCCGGCCTAGAGGGGGAAGTGTGGGGGGCTCAGGTGTGGGATGTGAGGGACTGCGCAGGGGTAACCCCGGCTCTGCTGACCTGGCTTCGACCCACCCACACATCTTCACATCGCAGGGGACGGAAAGGAGAGAACCTTTCCAGAGGGTGAGCTCCAGACCTCGGCAGATCCTCTGCATCGATTGTGGACCTCGCTGAGCCCTGACTCCCATCTGAGGATCAAGTGGAAGGCCTGTGTGTCGCACTGGCCCCAAGCCCACGGGGCGCGAAAGGCTCAGGAAGGCCTCAGACCCGTCCTCAATGGGAGGGCAGAAAGGAAGCTTAGGCAGGATATGCTGAAAGTCAATGGCGGTTACAATTCTCAACTGGGAGTCAGAGTTCTTAATTGGGTAGATAGGATAATACATAATAGTGATT